GAGCCGGCTCGGCTCAGGCGCGGCCGCCGCCGCCCGTGGCGGCCCCGCCGCGGCCGCACCCCCGCTGCCCGCGCTCGGCCTGCCCGCGGACGCGGCGCTGGGTGCCACGGCCGGCGCTGGCGCCGCCGCGGGCGGGCTCGTGCGCACGCCCACCACCATCGAGAACCTCAAGCGCGTGCTGGAGGCGTGGGACTGCGGGCTGCCGCTCCTGCTGGAGGGTGGCACGGGTGCGCTGCTGGCGCGTGGATGTGGTGCCTTGCCATTGGTTGTGCTGGCGCTGCATGGCTTCTTGGTTGTGAGGCAAAATCAAATGGATATGTACTAGCACACCAACAATCGGCGGGGATGGAAAATCTCTGCGTGCATTTTTGACAAGCGTCCATGCATGCTGCCCCGCGCCGCCGCTTTGGCCCCGACCGCAGGCGTCGGCAAGACCGCCACGATCGCCGCGGCCGCCGCGCTCAAGGGCCAGCGCCTGCTGCGCATTAACATGTCGGCCAGCATCGCGCGCGACGACTTGTTCGGCCGCATCCAGCTGCAGGCCGCGCCGGCACCCGCAGCCGGCGCCGGCGTCGACGCGGGCGCTGGCGCCGGCGCCTCGCCGTCCGCGCCGCGGCGGTTTGTGTTCAGCAAGCAGCCGTTTGCTGTCGCGTTTGAGGAGGGGTATGCAGTCGTCCTGGACGAGCTGAACCTGGCGCCAGACGACGTGCTGCAGAGCATCAGGCAGGCCATGGACTGCCAGGTGATGAGGTGGCCAGCGGGTTGTCCTGGGGGCAATTGCCGCCGCCGCCAGCCCTTTACATGTTTTTTGACAAGGCTGTGCAGCTGCTGTTGAGCAGTTTGTTTTGCCATTCACCCTCGACGCCGACTGCAAACGCACACCCGCAGGTGCAATGCACATGCATCCCTTGGGCGCACCGTTGTTGCCAGATTGCACACACCCAGGCCTCCTTTGTGTATGGCCAATCCCAGCACCACCCCCTTAACAGCACCTCGCCCCCTCCACCGCCTCACCTCAACCGCAACCTTCCTTCCCAGGAGCTGCGCATCGAGGACGCCAGCTCAGCAAGCAACCCGGTCAAGACGGTGCGCATGCACCCCTCCTTCCGGCTGTTTGCCACCCAGAACCCCCACACCGGCCACTTCAAGGGCCACCGGGAGCGCCTCTCACCAGACCTTGTCGACCGCTTCGCCAAGGTGGGGGGTTCGACTCATGATGACTCGCCATGAAGGGGCTGTTGGGCAGGGAACCCTTGCAGCGGAACCGCAATGCAGGCCTGGGCCTGGCGGCCGCCGCTGCGCTTCGCGCGGCAGTGATTTGCGTGCTGATATTGCGCGGTTGAACGAGGGCCATCCTCTAAGGGGTTGACAACCGCCTCAGCACTTGTGGGGCACAGCTTACCTTTTTAGGTATCAGATGATGTCAGGATAAGTCCTGACATCGCCCTCGCATTCTTGACCCCCCAAGCTCCACAAACCATGAACCCCAACCCCGACAAACTTCTACCCCAGGTTGTGTTTCAAGAGCTGCCAGCAGAGGAGTGGGTCACCGTGGTCGCCGAGACGCTCCAGGCGGAGGGCGTGGCACCCGCCAGGGCGCGACCACTCGCGGCGCGAATGGTGGCGGTGCACGAGAGGGTGCAGGAGGCGATCGGCCGCAGGCAGCCGCCCATCCCGGAGGTGCGCCTCGGCCGCTGCGGGGGCGGATGGCGAGACCTCTGATGGGGACCCTCCGTCAGACACGCGTGCAATTAGTCCCTTCGGGTGGCAGGCGCCCTTGAATCATCCACCGCGCCTGCTTGCTGCCAAACCTGGGCTGCGTAGCACGTGCCGTTCCTCATTTGTTGCAACACCTCATGCACCATGTCATCCATGACAGGCTGCGCCGCCACAGAGGCTGGCTTCACACGCTGCAGCGCAGCGCTGCTCCCGAATCAACCCCTCCACCCTTCACCAGCCACCCGTCTCTATCTGCTCATGTGAGCCCCGGCCACCATCCCTCCCCCTCCTATCAGACTGGCCCCCACACCGCCATCTCCATCCGAGAACTGTTGAAGTGGGCCCACCAGGTGGCACCACTCGTCCCACCTGCCCCCGCCCCTGCACCTGCAGCCCCGGCCGCCGCCCCCATTGGCGGCACAAGCGGCGGCGGCGGCAGCGCCCGCGACGCCTGCGTGGCGTCTGCGCTGGCGTTCACGTCGGTCGCTGTCTACGCGGCGCGCTTCCGGCGGCCCGAGGCGCGCGCCGAGCTGCTCGCCGTCATTGCCGCAGCGGGCGGCTGGCAGGCGCCCACTGCCGCTGCCGCCGCCGCCGCTGCCGAGTGGTCGCTGGCTGCCGGTGACGACGGCGCCGATGCCTGCCTGCAGCTGGGGGAGCACGTCACCCTGCCCCTCAGGGGCGCGCCTGGCGACGGCCCGAGGCCTGTGACCGCCGCCACCGCCGCAGCAGCGCCTTGGGAGGCCCCAGCCGCGGCCGCGCATGCGGACGCGGCGCGGATGCTGCTCGGCGCTGAGCTGGTGGGGCGCTGTGGGCTGTACTTGATAGATTCCTCATGGCTGCACGCCTGGCTCAGCGCCGCGCGCGCCGAGGGCTGCGGCGACGCCGCGGACGCTGGGGCGCTCGGCCTGCGCCTGTACTGCTCGTGGCTGCGGCACGGCGAGGCAAGGGCGGCGGTGGCAGACGCGTTCGCGCGCCACTTTGGCGCCGGCGTCGCCGCGGCCGCCGAGCTGGGCGCAGTTGCCGCCGCCGGCTCGCGCACGCCCTTCGCAGTCACGCCGCGCGTGCTGCGCGCGTGGCGCCTCGCCGCGCTCGCGCTGCGCCACGGCGAGCCGCTGCTGCTTGTTGGCCGGGATGGCTGCGGCAAGTCGGCGGCGCTAGTGGCACTGGCGGGCATCTTGGGTGAGCCAGCAATGCAGCAGATCAACGTCACCACGGACACCGAGCCCGCAGATCTGGTTGGTCAGCAGCAGCCCTCCGCCGAGGGCCGCGGCCGCCTGGTCGCGTGGGCGCACGGGCCCGTGGCACGCGCGTTTGAGGGCGGGGGCTGCGTGCTGCTGGACGGCCTGCAGAATGCGGATGGTGAGCGCGCGGCTGGTGACATGTCGGGTTGAGAGGTCCGTGCTGGGGTTTTGGCGGGCGCTCGGCATCCAACGCACACGTGCTGGTGTGCACGTGCAGATGATTGTATTCCTCTCCTCATGTCATCTACTCTTTCGGAAGCATCAGTCTGGATGCTTTGGAAAGGCCTTACATAATCACCATCAATCCCAATCATGCTCACACGCACACATGCGCGCCCACGCACCCCGCAGGCCCTGTGTCAGAGCGCCTCAACTCGCTCCTGGAGTCGCCGCCCACGCTCCTGCTCGCGGAGCGCGGCGACACGGCCCCGCTGCAGCCGGGCCCTGGCTTCCGCCTGCTGGCCACCTTCACGCCGCCCACGCGCCGCGGCGGGCCGGACGTCGGCGTCGAGGGCCGCGAGCTGTCGCCGGCGCTTTCAAATCGTTTCAGCCAGGTCGTCGTGGACGACCCCATGCAGGCGCCCGAGGCGGAGTTCAGATCTGAGATCGAGCAGATCGCGGCTGCGGTGTGCGGCGATGCGGCCGGCAGCCAGCCGGGGGCAGCCGCCCTGGCCGCCGCCGCGTGCGCCTTCCTGCGCGCCGAGCTGGGTACAGTCAGCGGCTGCGGCCGGGGCAGGGCGCCGCCGGTGGCGCCGCTGACGCTGCGCACTTTTGTGCTTTTCTTGGACTCGGCTTACGCCGCCCACAGCGGCGCGCTGGTGACCGCTGGCCAGGCCGGCGGCGTCAGCGACTGCGACAGCGACAGCATCGGCAGCGTCGATAGCTTCGCAGCGGCTCTGTTCACCGCCTACACCATTGTGTTTGGCCCCCGCCTCGCAGCCCTGCCCGAGCTAATGCAGCGGCACGTCGCCGTGCGGCTCCGGGAGGTGCTGCGCCTGCCGCCCCCCAACGCCAACGCAGACGCAGACGCCGAAAGCAGCGCCCGATGCGGCGCGGCGGCGCTGCTGTCCCAGCTCGCGCAGCGCATGGGCGGCCGCCACGTGCTGGCTGGCAGCCGCGTCGCGGCGGGCGCCGCGGTGGTGTCCGCGGTGTGCTGCTGCAGGCCGGTGCTGCTGGAGGGCCCCGCGGCGGTCGGCAAGACGTCGCTGGTCGCGGCGCTCGCGGCGGCCTGGCCGGACGGGCCGCGGGCGTTGGTGCGGGTCAACAACGCGGACACCACCGGCGTGGCCGACTACTTTGGCAGCTACCTGCCGTCTGGAGCCGGCTTCAGCTTTGCAGAGGGTCCGCTCGTCAGAGCAGTGCGGCTGGGGCACTGGTTCGTGGCAGGTGGGTTGGCGGCGCAGGTGGTGCAACAGGGCATGGCTCTATGGGTCGATAGCATGGGTCCAAGGGGCTGGCTGCCTTGTCATTGGGGTTGGCATGCTGGCACCATGCTTGCTCCTGACATTGTAGTGTTCTTTTGTTACAAGCTCGCAGGCTGCGCTGTCCTCCTTGCAAGCCCGCTCTTCTATCAGCCAGCGACACCCGTCTCCTCCCGCCACTCACACGCTCCACCACAGCTGATCCAGCAACAGATACAAAAATCAACCATCCTACAACCCAACCAACCCAAAAACCAATCATGCAACCAACCAGCCAACCAACAAGTCAGCTAACCACCCAACCGGCCAACCAGCCAACCAAACATCCTACCTCCCATCTACCCTTTCAACCAGACGAGTTCAACCTCGCGCCGCCCGGCGTGATGGCTGTCCTGCTGCCCCTGCTCGAGGGCCGCCCCACCCTGCGCGTGCCCGGCACCGACCTGGACGTCCCCGTCGCCGCTGGCTTCCGCTTCTTCGCGACCCAGAACGACGCCAGCTACGCCAACCGCAACCCGCTGCCGCTGTCGCTGCGCTCGAGGTTTTTGGAGGTGCAGGTGCCAGACTTTGGCGCCGAGGAGCTTTCAGAGATCCTCCAGCGCCGCCGCGTGCCCGTCCCCGCCGGCGCCGTCCCCGCGGGCGGCGGGGACGGCGCGGCGCTGCTGCCGCCGCTGGGGGCGGCCGAGGCGGCGCTGCTGGCGGCGCTGTACGAGGCGCTCAGGGGCGCGCCGCCCGGCCTGCGGGTCACGATGCGCGAGCTCACAAAGGTGGAGCGGCGCCACCGGCTGCTGTGCCTGCCGCTGCCGGCCGCGGCCGCGTCGCTGCTGCGGCCGCGCTGCCGGCCGGGGGCCGGCGGCCACGCGGACGGCGATGCGGCGGCCCTGCAGGAGGGGCTGAAAAAGGCCCTCGACGGCGGCAAAGAGGAGCCGGACCCTGAGCCCACCGCCTACACCGTTGTCCAAGAGGCTGACTGTGTCGCCTTCAGCGCCGGCGGCGCCGTCGCCCGCGTGCCCGGAGCGCGACTAGACAGGAGCCCGCTCGCCGCGGACCCCGGCGCTCTGCCTGCGCCGCTGCGGCGCGCTCTGGTGCAGGTCGCGTTCGCGGCCGCGGCGCGCGAGCCTGTGCTGCTGCTGGGGCCGACGTGCTACAAGAGCCTGCTGGTCAACACCTGGGCGGCGCTCACTGGCGCGGCCCTGACAACAGTCCACCTGTCCACCGGTGAGCGCTTGCGTTGGCCGGGTGATTGTTTACAGCGCCAGCCAGCTGATTATTTGATCATCCCACCTTTGCTGGGGCCGGTGGCCAGCCTGCTGCTCTGCCTGCTCAGCTTCCCAGGGTCGATTTTCAGGGCTGTTGATGGTTTTCAGGGCTGTCAGTTGCTTTTGGGACCTGACTGCATCCTGAAGATCCAGAGTCTTCATCGTCTTGAAACCAACCCGTCTGCACAATAAAACTCATCCCATGACAACCTACTCAACCCAATCACACACCCTTTTTACACCACCCACAGAGACCGAGGGCTCAGACCTGGTCGGCACCTTGGTGCCTCACTCCTTTGCCGAGTGCCTCGACGCCTTCCTCTCCGGCTGCCGCCAGCTGCGGCGGCGGCAGTCCGCGCTGACCGGCGGCCGCCCGCTCGGCGACAGCGGCGACGCCGACGCCAGCAGCCTTGACACGCTGCTGGCGGCGCGCCTGCCAGACGCCATCCACGCGTTCAAGCAGCAGCACCTCGCAGCGGCGCCAGCTAGCAAGCCGGGCGCCTCGGCTGCCGCCGGCGCAGCGGCCGGGGACGATTGGTTTTTGGGCGCCTGGGGCCTGCTGCCCGGTGCAGAGATTGGAGATGATGATGGTGATGATGACGACACAGCAGCGGAGACGCGCCGCGACCAGCTGATGCGCGACGCCGCGGCCGAGGCGGCGCGGCGGGCGCCCGGCCTGCTGGCTGAGCTGGCAGAGGGCTCGCCGCCGCCGGAGGGCGCCGGCGCGGGCGCCGCCCCTCCCGCGCGGCAGCAGGCTGGCGCCTTTGCGCTACCGGTGTCCAGGGCGGGGCGGGTCGTGGACAGCAGCGATGATGATGATTGGGAGGTGCTTTCGGACAGCGACGATCTGGAAGGTCTCTTTGCTGCATATGGCGCCACAGCCCCTGCAGGCGGCGACAGCGACAGCAGCACCAGCATTGTCGCCCTCGACGCAGCCAATAGGATCGCGCCGCCACAGCCGGCCGGCGATGCGGAGTGGGTCGGGAGCAGCACGGCCAACCCAGGCGGCGCAGCCCTTGCGACAGGCAGCAGCACGGGCGACCAAATCGCCCGCTCTGCTGCCTCCGCGGCAGCGGCAGAGCCGGAGGCTTCTGACCGCGGCGCGGCGCCCGCTGCAGGCGGCCCCAGCGAGGAGTCGTCAGAGGGCGCGGGTGGCAGCGCGCTGGCAGAGGCGTGTGATCTGGACGCAATGATGCGGCTGTACGAGGATCTGGGCGGCGACGAGCTGCCGCCCCCGCTGCCGGCCGCCCTCGCGGCCGCGGCGGAGGAAGCGCTGGACCTGCTCTCACGCCTCTCAGCCGCCACCGCCGCGCCCGACGCAGCCGCGGCCGCCGCGCTGGCCAGGCTGCGGCGCCTGTGGGCGGACGTGTCGTCGCCGTCGGCGCGCAGGGGCGAGCCGCGCTTCATCTTCAGGGAGGGCCCGGTGACACGCGCCGCGCAGGAGGGCGGCCTGCTGCTGCTGGAGGACTTTGACGCCCCCAGCCAGGCGGTGACAGAGCGCCTGAACAGCCTGCTCGAGCCGGAGCCGTCGTTTGCAGTCACAGAGGACGTCACTGCCTGTGACAGCGGCGGCGGCGGCGACGCGACAGATGTGGCGCTGCCCGGAGGCTTCCAGGTGTTTGCGACCGTGCACACCGGGGCCGACGGCAGGCGGCCGCCGAAGCTCAGTCCGGCAACGCTGTCCCGCTTCACGCCGGTCTACGTGGCGCCCTACGAGGACGAGCCCGGCGCGCCCACGGGTGCAGGCGCTTGCAACGGCGGCACGCTGCACTGGGTGCTGCAGCACCGCCTGCTCAGCGGCCTGGCCGGCGGGGGCGGTTTCTCGGCCGCCGGCCCGGGCGCGCCAGGCAAACGGGAACGGCAACAATCGTCCAAGACGGCCACGGCCACGGCGGCGGCGCTGGCGGATATGATGCTGAGCATCAGCCGCGCGGCGGCCGAGCAGGCGGGCTCCGCCGCTGACATCAGCAGCGGCGGTGCGGGCGGCCTGCGCTCGCTGCTGCGGTGGGCGGACTTTGTGGCCGGGCACGTCGGCGAGCGCTGCCTTGAGGCGCGCGTCGTGGCGGGCGCCCGCTTCTTTGCGCTGGACAGCCTCTCATCAGAGCAGCAGGCGCAGCTGCTGGCCGCCTGGCTGCGCGACAGCCCCGCGGCTGCGGCGCTGCCGCCCGCGGCGCGCGCCGCGTGCGCCCGCCTCGCGGCGCCGCCGGCGGCCCCGCCGGAGGGCGGCGTGTTTGAGGACCCAGCCTCCGTGCTGGAGGTCGTCCGCGGGCGGCTGGTAATCAAGTCCAGCGGCGTGTCGGCGCCGCTGAGCCCCCGCGCCGACCCCAGCGCGCTCGCGCGGCTGCCGCTGTCGCTCGCGCCGTCGACGGTGGCCAGCTTTGAGCGCGTCTTCGCGGCGATGACGGCGGGCGTGCCGCTGCTGCTCGAGGGCCCGCCGGGTGCGTGGGGGCTCAAGGGCTTCAGTGCATTTGATCTGTGGGGAAAGAGCGAGATGAGGCGAGGGCGATCTTTGACAGAAGGAGGTCGGACAGTGACGTCACGCCCAGGATTTGGGGGTTGACCAAGCCTGCCTTGAGTTGCTTGCTTTTTTGGTCCGCAAGTGCCAGACGCGCCCCTTAGAAGTGTGCCGCGCGGCAGGTGCAAGTACACTACCTTTATTAGGCGACGCCTGCGCCTGCGCCATGAAGCCCGGCCCTGTGCCCACTCCCTCACAGGCATTGGCAAGACAGGATGGCGCCCTGCTGCGCGCGGTGCGTGACCGGCGGTGGATCCTGCTGGACGAGATCAACCTGGCCCCGCCAGAGGTGCTGGAGGTGGTGGCTCCGCTGCTGGACAGGTGCGCGCTTGTGGCACCCTTGACAGACACATATGCACCACGCACACGCGAACCCTCTCTGTATCCCCCGCGCGTGTGCACACGTATGTGTGCACACACACACACACACACACACACACACACACACATGCACACATACATACACACACATGCACACATACATACACACACACCTGCATCCGCTTGATTTCTTTCATGAGCGATCGCTTTGTGTCGAGTGTGCGCTGGGTATTAAACCAACATGGGCATAAACAGCAAAGCGGCATAGCCACGAAGGTGGTGTGTGGTCTCACCAGCGAGCACCATCCAGTCTTGATAGGTTCTCAAATCCACACTTTTAGCTTGTGCTTTGCGTATCTGTGGCCGGAGCAGAACCCACGGCTACTCACAATCAGACCCCCGTCTTACTCACTGCCATTCCGACCCCTCTAACCCCTCGATGCAACCACCAACCCCACTCATCACCCCCTCCAGCGGCCAAAAGCAGTTCACGGTGCCCTCATACGGCATCACCCTGCCCCTGGAAGGAGTCCGCGTGTTCGCGACCTGCAACCCCCGCTCCGTCGGCGGCGGCCGCAGCCAGCTGCCGCGCTCGCTGCGCGGCCAGCTGGCGGCGGTCCGCCTGGAGGCGCCGTTGGAGCCGGAGGTCAGGGGCATCGTGCTCGACCTCTTCGCACCGCTGGTGCAGCGCGGCTTCCTGGAGCCGCCCCACATGACGGCGGTCCACAACTGCCACGCGGCGTTGCAGGTCGCCGCGGCGAAGCGCGAGATTGGGCGCGGCGGGGCGCCAGTGGAGCTCAACCTCCGGGATTTGATCAAGGTGGGGCCCCGGGCCCCTTTGTTGGGGGGGGGGAGGAGGAGGTGTGTGTGGAGGGGTTGGTTGCCTGATATTCTGCGCTGCACCGTGTCTTTTGCCCGAGCTGTGCTGAGCTGCCATGCGCTGTTTTGTGCTGGGCATGCATCATGTCCGTGCTGCACAATCAATCACGCTCTCTGCACTCCCTCTTCGCCGCAAGTTTGGCCCGTATCTGAACCGCGCCGACCTTTCGCCACGCTCCTCCGCCGCCCACCACAACCAATCCCCCCAAACCTGCCAGGTCCGCGACACCGTGGCCGCCACAATGAGGGACCACCTAAACGACTACCGACGCACAGCCACCAAGGAGCCCTCCACCTTCGACGCCTCGCCCCTCTCCCCACTCACCTGCGACGCGGACCCCCGCCTGCTGGTCCTGGCCAAAGTCGTGGCGCTCGTGTACGGCGAGCGCCTCGCATCCGCGGAAGACCAGCAGGCGGTCGCTGACGTCATCGAGCGGGAGCTGGGGGTGCCCGGGTTCGGCGCCGCGTGGCGTTCGGGCGGCGGCGCCGCGGATGTGGACGAGGCGGCGCCCGGCGTGCTGCGGGTCGGCAGCGTGTACCTGGCAAAGGGTGGGTGGCTGGGGGTTGGTGACACAGCTGGTGACAGAGGCCTGTGGTGTCGCTTCACGTACCTACTCACACAAATGTGCGGGGTTGACTTGTGCCGGCGATAACGCAGGTGCTCTTGCAGAACTAAAAACTGGTCAACCAGGTTGGTCAGCTCGCCCTGCCCGTAAAAACCTGCGGCTTTCAACCAAACAACCAATCTTTTGCCATCCCCACCGTGCAGGCGATGTCGTGCCGTCGGCGCCGGCGCTGGCCCACACGCCGCGCACCGTGCAGCGGCTGGAGGCTCTCGCCGTAGCCTGCCAGTCGGGGCGCACCGTGTTTGTGGAGGGGCCCACCTGCAGGTGAGGCCGAGGCACGTCTAGGGGCCGTCGGGTTGTGATGTTTGAGTCTGGCAGTCGACATATACCTTGCTCCACAATACAATCTAGTCTCCTAACCCGCCCATGCATATTAGTCACGATGACTCATCTGACCCTGCCTTCGCAACGTGAATATGTGTGCCGCACCACTCCCCCCCAACCCAGTGGCAAGACCAGCATGGTGGCTGAGCTGGCACGGCTGGCGCAGCGGCGGCTGCACGTCATCCCCCTGGCGGCTGACACAGGTGCGTGGTTGTACATTGTGAGGAGTGCGTGGGGAGGTTTGAGCCATGATGGCAGTCAAATGATGTATGTTGCTACTGGTGGGGGTAGCGCGGCAGTCCATTGGCAGTCTGCTCTTCCTTCTCACAATTGGGGGGTTTCGCAGCTGCTAGGCGATTGTGCGACTGCTGGGTTGCAAACCCTAGTTGTTTGCAAATCCTATCCGTAAACACATTCATCACACCCCTGCTGAAATGTGTGTTCGTCACGTACAACTCACTGCCTCACAACAGAGGCCACGTCCATCATTGGTCAATGGCTGCCCGTCGACAGCGGCGGCCCAGACGCCTCTCTAGCGCGGGAGCTGCGCCAGCTCGTCGGCGACTGCACCTCCCTCGCGCTGCACCACCTGCTGCCCGCCCTCGCCCGCGCCCCCGCCGGCCGCCACGCGACCGTGGCGGCGCTGCAGCGGCTGCTGCTGGCGGCGCGGGGCCTGGGGTGGGTGGGCGCGCACGGCGGGGCGGCGGCGGCCGCCGCTGGCCGCCTGCCGACCGACGGCGAGCAGGCTGCGGTTCTGGCGGCGTGCGAGGAGCTCCTTGGCGCCGCGTCCAACGGGCCGCTGGCCTTGGGGGCGGACGAGGGGCAGCAAGCGGCGCTGCGGCTGGCAGCGGAGGCCGAGCGGCTGAGGCGGTCGTTCGAGGCGGCGGCGCGGCAGCAGCAGCAGGGCCTGGCGTTTGCGTGGGCCGAGTCAGATTTGGTGGCGGCGATAAAGGCCGGCGACTGGGTGAGTTGCCAGGCTCGGCAGACCCAGTCCTCGCCTCTTGCCTTGCCCTGGCCCCCCACCTTCCAGATGCTTTCTTCTCAGTCGCTCGACTTGAAGCGTCGAAGCCCCCCTTCCACTCAACATGCTAACTCAGCACATTTCTCCCTCGCCCCTATTGCTCGCGATTACTTTCCATAAACAGGTGCTGCTAGACAATATCGACCTCGCCCCGCCAGAGGTGGTGGAGCGCCTCAACCCCCTCATGGAGGACAGCCCCTCACTCGACCTGCATGAACGGGAGGACGGCCTTTCCCTCTCCCGCGCAGCCGGCACCATACACCCAAATTTCCGCCTCTTCGCGACCGCCAGCCTCCGCCGCGGCGGCGACCGCGCGGGGTGCCTCTCGGGCGCGCTGCTCAACAGAGTGCTCCACTTGCGGGTGCAGCCCCTGGACGCCGGCCTGGCGGCAGCAGGCCCGGAAGGCGCCGCGGGCCACGACCTCGCCGCCACCCTGGCACTCCGCCTGACCGGCGTAAGCGGCGGCGCGGAGCTCGCCGCGCTCATCTCGCGCTTCCACGCGCGCGCGCTGCAGCTGGTCGCCTCCGGCGCCGTCGAGCCGCCGCCCGGCGCACCGCTCACCGCGCGCGCGGCGCTGCGCGCGGCGCACGCGGCGGCGCGCGTGCTGACAGCTGCGCCCGACACGGCGCCGCCGGCGGCAGTAGCACGCGGAGTGCTGCAGTCGTACCTGCCCAGCGTCGCAGACGCCCGGCAGCGCGCGCTGCTGCTGCGAGAGCTGGCCGCGCTCGCCGGCGCCCCAGACCTGCGTCGCCTGCACTACGAGACGCAGCAGCCGCCGCGCCGCGGGCACGACCGCTGGCGCCTGGAGGCGGCGCCGCTCGCGGAGAATGCGGCGGCACTGGAGGCGGCGGTCGAGGCGGCGGCGTGGGCGCTGGTGGCTGCGTGCGATGACGTGCAGACCGGGGTGGAGCTGGCAGAGGAGGTGGGCTGAGGAGTTCGCGGCTGTGCACACGCTTGGGGTTCATACCGTTTTGAACTTGAGTGTTCCACTCATTCACGCTAATGGTGGGGGTACCTGGAATCATGGCGCATCAAGTACTATTGCGTGGCTTCATTGATGGTTGCTGTGCGGTGACACTCACCAAGAATAATGAGTCAAGCAGTGTGAACAATGCGAGCTTGCAGTGCAGTGCAGGCTGCAACCATTCAGCAGAAGCCGCACACAGCATTGGCATTGTAAAGCGCCCACCACTCCGCTGGTCACTTGCATAATAGCCCTTCCCCCTTTGAACCACCACTCCTGCAAAACCTCAGGTGCTCCGGGCCCTCACCATTCCACTAAACCCCGAGCGCCGCCACACGCTCCTGCGCCTGCTGGACGACCTGCAGCTGGCGGAAGCGCTACCGCCGGCAGACGGCCGCCGGCAGCTGCTGCACACCTGCCGCCTGGCGCGTGGCGCGGACGCCGCGGCGCCGCCCGCAGACGCCGCCCTCCGCCGCCTGGGCGCAACGCTACAGCAGCTGTCGTCAGGTGTTGATACTGCTGCGCGCCTGTTCCTCTGCGGCGCGTCATTTGCCGACGCCCCCGACCGCGCGCTGCAGCTGCGGCGCCTGCCGGGCGTCGCGCGCCACCTCACCGGCCTCCGCGCAGCGCTCGACGCCGCGCGCCGCGCGCGGGCGCTCGCGGGCGCGCCCGCGGCGGCCGCGCTGCTGGCGCAGGTAGAGGGCGCCGTCGGCGGCCTTGCCGCGTGGGACGAGCCAGCGCGCTGGCTGGAAGATCTGCGGGTGGTGCGGCCGTTCGTGGCCGCGGCGCAGGATCTCATTGACGGCTGCGGCGAGTCGTCGCTTTCGTACGAGCTGCAGCAGCTGCTGCTGAGGCCGGTCGCCGAGGTGCGGCGGTCCATGGCGGCCAGCGCGCGAGACATGATCAAGCGCGCGCCGGCCGGGGCCGCAGACGCCGTGCGAGCGATGCACGCGGCACTCGAGCTCGCGGCCGCGCAGTGGGCGTCCCGGCTGGCGCTGCCGCGGGAGCTCCTTGCGGCGACCGCCGCAGTGGCAGCGGCGGGCGGCGCCCCTGGGTGCATTGCGGAGCGAGTCAACTCGATCCAGGCCCTCAGCTCGCTCGCTCAGATCAGGTGTGATCTGGCGGCGATACTGGAGGAGGCCGCCGATGCCGCGGCGGCCGCAGCTGCGGGCGACGCAGTCGAGCGGGAGGCTGCCGGCGGCTGCGCCGCTGCTGGCGCCAAAGCGGAGGCAAACGGGGTCGAGGCCAAGACAGGTGTGGCGCCTGCTGTGGCAGCTGCAGCAGCAGCGGGATCAGCAGACGCGGGGCAGACCCAAGACAACGCCGGCTGTGCAGCAGTCGGGCCCGCCAGTCCAGCAGAGCAAGCGGCAGACGACAGCAGCAGCGCGGCGGCTGCTTCGCCGACCAGCCGGCCCACCCACGCAGAGGTGTTGCGGGCCCTGGCTGCGCGCGCCGAGGCGCTGCCAGGCAGCTCCCACGGGCTGTTCATCCGCAACCACGCTGCGAGCGCGGCCGTGCAGCTGCACAACAGCCTGTTGGCATCACTCTGCCGCTTCATGCGCGGCGCGGGCACCGCAGGGCCCGCCCCCCTGAGCGCCGCGCTCGCCTCGGGCTTCGGCCGCCAGCTGCGGCGCTGCGGCAGCCTGGAGCAGCACAGGGCCGCGGCATTGGTCTGGTCTGGGCTGTTCTTTGCAGATGGGGGGCAGGCAGCGGCGGCGGCGGTTGCGCGTGGCGGCGTGCAGGTGGTGGACGTGGCGCAGCCGGCCTCCGCACCCGTGGACGCGTGGCAGCTGCCGCTGCCAGATGAAGCTGACGACAGCGGCTGCAAGCTGCTGCTGCTGCTGACGTCCTCGCAGCACCAGCACCAGCAGCAGCAGGGCGGCCCCGGTGAGGCTGCGACCGTGCCGCCGCTGGCTGCAGTGTGGCTGGCTCGCGAGCACAGCGAATCGAGCAGCGGGGTCGTGCGCGTCGTCACCTTCGTTTGCCTGGGGGGCGGCAGGGTCGACCCCGACATCACCGCATGGGTGGAGCAGGGAGTGCAGCAGCTGGAGACCGACGGCGTCACCGTGCAGCCGCAGCTGCATGCCGTGCGTGTCCAGGGAGGCGGCCAGGGCGGCAGCTCCCCTGATGCCTCTGCCGCCCCAGCGGCCACGGCCGCCGCGGCGCATGCCGCAGGCGCAGCCGCCCGCCCCGGCGCGGAGGCGGAGGCCGCCATGGCCGCGGCCTTGATGGAGGCGATCGAGCGGTTTGCGGCAGAGGATTGCGTGGCACAGTCCAGGGGTGAAAGGTCAGCAATCGAGCAGGTGGCAACACAGCAGGCGGCGACCGGACAGGCGCAGCCGTTGCCGCCATTTGAGCGGGCGCAGATTTCTGACAGGCTGCTGCGGGCGTATCAGCGGCTTGAGCAGCACGCCAGCAGCAGGGGTGGCGGCAGGCTCGGCTCAGGCGTCCACGCGGGCGCAGAGGCGCTTAGCCACACCGCGGCCGCAGCTGCAGCTCTGCGCGACGCCGCAGAAGAGGCGGCCGCCGGCGGCCAGTCCGAGGCGGAGGGCGGCGCCGCGCTGCTCGACCGCGCACTGGCCGCGGCGGGGGTGCCGCGGCCATTTGTGCTGCGGCGGCTGGGCGATGCGGCGCGGGGCGAGGCGGAAGATCAGATTGGGGAGTTGTGCGGGATGGCGACGCTCGCGGAGCGACACGCGGTGCTTGCGGCTGTTGAAGCCCTGATCGAGGCCTGCAGCGCCGACCCGCTCCCCACGCTGCTGCAGATGCGCAGGCGCCTGCGGGGCGCCGGCGCTGCCCTCGCCGACTTCGGCGCCGCCTCGCGGCTGGCACGCGTGCTGCTGCGTGCGCCGGCGCTGGCCGTCGTGTGGGTGGCGGGCGGCGGCCAGGTCGAGCGGGCGGCCAGACGCCTGCTGGCGGCCCACGACGCGGCGCCGGGTGCGGCTGCCTTCATGGCCGGCTTGTGCGTAAACCTGCTCGGCAGCCTCAGCTTCGACGTCGGCAGCGGCGGCGCCGAGCCGGCCGCTGCGCCAGCGGGCGTGCGAGTGCGGCGG